CCATTAGCGCCAAACGCAGTCGCATCTCGATGCCAGGTAGCGAACAGCAAATGCCGGAGGGGCCCGGAGAAGGTAGGTGAACACAGCACACAGTGCACAGAACACAGTGCACTATTGCTCGTCACAGCTGAAAAGTTCTCGGAATTTTTGGGTTGTTCGATAGCGCAAGCTTCTAGCCTCGAAAGCAACATCTTGACCACTGGTTTAAGGCGCCCGACAAGATTGGTAAGCCTCGCTGCGTCCTGCTCCGTCGACGTTCTCTGGATGGCTATGATTGAACGCGGCGTGGTGGCTTGATGGCCATCAAAAGCTTCGTAGGATGCCTCGATGCAGATTTAGCGGGACTTAGGCTAAAAACTCAAAGCCTGCGCCGACGTGACGCAGGCAACATCCAGCAGAGCTCGCTTTGCTTGAAGTCGCTCGCGGCCGCGCGTCGCCTTTCGCACAGCGCTGCACGCGGCCCGACGGCAGAGGCGGCTGGCGCGGCCGCGCCGCGGGACTAGCAATAACCGTTTAGACAGACTCGAGCAAAGGCGTGAAAACAATCAAGGTGTCATTCATGCAGATTCTATCCGTTAATGCAGTAGACTGGCACTGAAAACCTTATGCACGCCGCTTATTCATTGCATGACAAAACTCGCTCTTAAACGCAATCTGGTGGTTTGAAGCCGGGGACTCCCGTTCTGCACACTGGTATCACCAATGATGGCAAGGAAGACGTCGCGGGTCTTTGGCTGCTGTACTGCAGTCAGGATGGTTCATGTCGACCGTAAACTGAAGCCGAGCTAGGACTCGGTTGGGCTTACCACTTGGGACCCAACTCGCGACCGGCCGACCATATCACTACTGAATGTAATCGATCAAGTGAATTATTGTCCCTCGATACAGGATAAAGTTTCCGCTTGGCTGCAACAGATTAGGCAGTCAGAAGATTCCGGATATTTGTCTCGCGGATGAGCCAGCAGCTGTGGTCATTCCGATTCTTTCATAGGCTGTCGGAGGCAGAGCAAGTCTGCATTGACCTGCTACATGCTCCATATTACTGATCAGGGTGCACGTGTAACGTTGGGGTCTCCTGAAACTTGCTTTCAAGACCAATATTCTTTTCATTTCCAAAATTTTGACACTTTAAGTTGAGGAGAGACGTGGGCAATGTTGGCGATGATTTCAAGAAGCAAGACGCCAAGTACCCGCCAGGGAAATATGTCGAAAAGGGCAGAGCGCTTCGCTCAACGTTCGGTGTTGTCTTGGCAGGCCCCATTTGGCAATCTGCCCACTGGTTGTTCATCGGATCAATTGCAGTAGCTTTTGGCCCGCCTTGCTCGTCTCATATGCATGTCTCGTGGTAATCAATGGTCGCTTCGGTCGAGCCTTTTCATGTTCGAAATCTGTTTGCAGCTCCTGAAAGGTCTGTCTCGCAATTGGTAAGGGCTAAAGTGATTCAGAACACAGACGTGAATTTGGGGATGCTCCCCAAGCAATTGTGTAAGATTAATTGACGTTGTAGCACTTTACGTACGCTAATGTCGGCAAAGACGACCTTGATGCGTGGCGCGGCAACAATGCCACTGGGTCTCGTGATATTTCCATCTGAGCCAGGGAAGGACCGACTCAAGCGCAACAACGCAAGTTGTCAGTCAGCAATTGGATCGACTTCCATTCGTTGGGATCTGCTCTCCGCCCCCATTGGATTGAATACAGCCTGGACGCAAAAAAAACCTAGGCGCTGTCGGCATGGTTCAGAAAGTGCTTCCTGCGTTACGTAGGACTGTGAGCCGTCAATCTGTTAGAAACAAGAGGGAATGTTTCTTGCACGAGTGGTCCCAAGGTTCGAGATTGCATTGCCAAAAGCCATGGGCCTAACGACTGCGTTTCACAAAGCTCGAGCCTTTTTGACCACGCAGACGTTTGCAGTACTTCATCTTTGAGATTGGCTGTCTCGACACGTAACAGCATGTATGCTCGCAAATGCATCCGTTTGCAGAGAAATTTAAGGGAGGGGAGCGTCGAAACAAGAAGTCTGTTTCAGGAAGCTTTGATATTTTCAGGAAACAATCTGCTGCTAGCAACATGGTGTGGGTTTCGTCACTAGGAACTCATGTCGAGCTTGGCGAGGAGAATAAACTTCTACTGGGCGAGTCCAACGGATGGGGACGTAGAGTCGATTCGTCGAAGCCTGCTGTCAACCTTTGTGAGGCTCCCTACAACTATTCGTACCTTTTGAAGCTCTTCGCGGCATGCTCAGGCCTCCCGAAACAGGGGTGCTTAGTCTTTGTTTTGGCCCCCTCACAGAATGTATTGCTTTGATTTTGGCAGGCCGCAAACATTGCAAGAGTTTTCTCGTTTCCCACAGATTTTGCGTTGCGCAGTATCCCAACGGTCTAGTCGGACTTGGGCACTCCATACAGAGCGGCGATGTGGGCGGACAAACTCGTCTGTCCATCCCCTTGCTTCGGCTTTTCTGTTCTTTGTCAAGACGGCGGTGAAGCACGAAGTAAAACGGAGGATGAATGTAAAAGTTGAGGATGGTATGCAAAGTGCTCTCGGCTGCTGAAGTCTGCCTTTACTGGCGGCAAAGTCCTGTCCGCACCTCTTTGTCTCTGATTTTGAATTTGATTCTGATTCTGCTTCCCGAACTTGCACGGCGCAGTTTTACCTGCTGGAGATTTCAGCGGCGGCGCCGCCGCGTCCCCTGAGCTGCGCGGCCGCCGCCGCTTCGGATCCCTCGTGGCTGGGCTGCACACATCAGCAGCGCGCGGGCGGCCGCGCATCGCAACGCGCGCTGTGGCGACGGTCGTCCGAGAGGCGTTGCAAAGACACAGCGGCAGTCTCAACGCGACAGTCTCAGAGCGGCTGGACTCAATCAACGCGTGGCTGTATCAAATGAGGGAGAGCTGTCCGCACGTACGAGAGCGAAGTATAGTTATACACATCTGCGTAGGTGTCAGGTGCCACAGCTCGATACTTTTGTCCGCCCCTTTTCTCTTCGGTAGCGTTGGAGACACATGTAACTCGGGATTGTTAAACGTGGAAGTTAAACTAAAAGGGAGCGAGCGAGGGGTCCTGATACATATATAAGCGAAACTAGAGCTGGGCGATCTTCAAAATGAAATGAATGAAAGGCCCGGGCCAGTGGATGGCGGGGTCGAAGGTCGGCGAAGCCGCGGAGCAGAGGTGCGCGCGCGCTGGCATGTACGCAGTCGAAATTGCCATCTAGAAGCTAGGTGATCCCATTCGGACCCATCTTCCTCGACGTTATCGACCGTACTAAAAAGGCATCATTCGGTGCCTTCCCTATCACTCAGGAGTCTGTAGAGTCTCGTTTGAGAAGGCCCTTACGCACTCGGTGGCAAGTGGAAGCCAAGCGGTCAATGCAGATGTTTGATATGGTTCCCGGCCGTCTTCTCTCTGCACCACTTTCCCGAGTGGCCGTTTCAAGACTCCCGCTGAGTCCTCAGTCCTCCACCTCTTTTCCTTTTTGCAGGTTCAATTGCAGGAGAGCGTATGGGTTGCCCGCGAGCAGAAATGTGCAGCGGAGAACGGAAATTGCGCGCAAGAACTTGCTCCGAAGCACCATGTAAGGCTGGGCTAACGGATCATTTGCCTGGCTGACTGAGCGTAGGTTAAGGGACGCTTGTAGAGGCCCAGGTCCAAGTCAACAGAGTAGCGTTCCAACAATGCTCAAGTGACCGCGGGCCAGGACTTCGAAAATTGGGTTACGCGTTTTGCGATGAATCTTGGAGGTAGCTCAGTGAAGGACGTCTCATAATATATAATCCTATCTCATGTCTCTTCGCGTATGCATTCGACCAGTTGTGCAACGTACCAGATGTATTGTCTTGTGCCAAGAAACTATGTGATGACGAAAGATCAGACCAAGCTGCATCATGGTCGGAAATTGAATCGGAGCTTTATGCATAGTCATGCAGCCGCTAAATTCAATGTGAAGCGCCGTTTTGCACCAACATTGACCACCTTCGATGCACGTAATCTGCGAATGACGCCTTTAGCTCTAGATGGTACATCGCAGCATGCGCTCTTGCATTGCGATCCGACGCGATTCCAGCCCTGCATGCATGTCGTGCGTGAACATGCAAATCCGCCTTGCTGACCAGACAAGATAGTCGAGTGCATGGTGAAAGGCTGCTTGATGTTCTTATATAATGACAGTGGATGGTACCAGCTAATGTAAACGTGCATCACGATCTTGCGGCTGCATAACTTAGAAATCGGATATTTTGCAGATCGTTCCAATTTGAACATCGTATCTCATATCATCGGCCCATGATGATGGGGCTGGTGGCGCTCGTATCCATAACCATAATAATCATTTATCGCGAACGAGCCGAGCAAGTCACCAACCGTTGTTTGAGCCGGCCAGGCGGACGTCACGATAGTCTTTGGGACTTTGTGAATTTTGAAATCCTATGATTGGCCTCTACAACGAGCGTTCGTGATAAATCTCTTGCTGAACTGCAACGTGCACTGATCAGTTTCCGATACCTGAGAAGAAAATGTATCGCCTGATGTAGCCAGCTCTAGCGCCTCATTGAGAAAGGATTACGTTTACGAGCCGCGCACTCTTGTTATACAGAAAGACACTCTAAAGACGGAGTGGAAGACGTTTAAATTCAGCATGATTGATGACGCCTACGGTTAGGAGGTTTACAAGCCTATTGGCCATTTCTGCGAGGAAGAATCATATGCAAATGGCTTTTGAGAAAGCAAAAGAGCGCGAAACCTGTCCGCACCCAGACAGAGCAGAAACATTCTGCAACGCCTAGAATCTAAACGGAAGCAGCTTCTATGAATCATTTAGAAACCAGCCCTTCGGTGTTGAAATTAATCTGCGGTGACGTTCACCTGATTCAGCCTGATCGTAAGTTGGACGGTGACCTTCACCTCAATAGGTTCGGAAAGCTGTTGAGCAGGATCTTCAATGATGTCAACGCCTACTCTTATCTATCTTGATTCTCTTGCCAAATAGCTGGTGATATTGGTCAATACTGGAGAACAATATCCGCAGATATCACGCCGTGGCCTTGCAGTACTTTTTGTGGCTTGGCCAATGCAACTTCTGGTGCTCCTTGCTGTAGCAGAAAAGCAAAGATCGGTTTGTTATTTCGGAAAAAAGACTTTGCTTACAAAGAAGCAACTCCACAGCTTCCACCGAGACTGACGAGAATGCCCCATTGCAGCACGAGGTAAGAGTTGCAAGGCCCCAAGGGATTATTTCGGAGGCTGCCTCAAACCAGTAATAGGACGGAGACTCTAGAAATACCTCATTTAATGCGGTGAATCGCAGGTTTCCTCTGGTCGTGACAAAGGACCACTTCAAAATGCCCGGTGTTTTGAATCCATCATGTGTCAGAAGCAGATTGCGACCCTCTCAATTGCACCTTGGGGCAACAAATGACTCTGTCTAGTCCTTTCATACTCACCTGCAGTAGAACGCGAGCGAACAGTTTGAACACTTGCTGAAGCGTCTGCCTTCGTCCACCGCCGATCCGAGTTCGCAACAGCTCCCAAGAGCACACAATAGGCGTGTCCACATCTTGCCCGCTTGCCCAGTCTGCTGAGGACTTTGCAGACTTCAAACCTGCCTTCGACCCTTTCTTGAGCGGCGTACCAGCCTGTCTTTCCGCCCGATCCCCTATTGCTTCCTTGAATGCTTCCAGATAGCGTGCTTGCACGCGCCTCGCCTTCAGAGCATCCTGAGAGTCTCTGCTGTACCTGTCAGCATCTGCGATTTCCTTTACTTGTGCTTCCATCCTTGCAAACTCCGCAGGGTCCTTCTTAGAACCATCTTTTTCCAGTATCTTTGACAGCCGACTGAACAAGCTTGCATGGATCTGTATGAGCCCTTTATCTAGCGCCCGTTGCTTGCTGTCCTCAAAGGAGAGGAACGTCACCAGCATTTGGTGTACGTGATGGGTGGCCTTTCGAACGTCATCCACTTCGGCCAGCTCCATGAAGTCGTCCGTAAGAAGGTGTCCAAGCGCAGGAAAGAAATCATTCAGGTCGAGTAAGCAGCAGCGCATCCGCTTTGAAACCCGAGCAAAATTCACGAAGCCTTTGACAATCTGCAGTGCAAAAATACTCAGGAAGTAGCCCTGTTTCACCCCCGTCCTCCGCACATTTTGTGCGTAGAATTGCGCGCAGAAGGTATGAGTGTCCAAAAGCTTTCGCGCTAGCTCGCGTGCCTTGCCTTCCTCCTTGAGACAGTATCTTGCAATCACTCCGCTCGCGGAGAGCGCTGCGAGAGCAACGCAGGAACACATGTAGAGCGTTCGAGTGTCTGCTGTACCTGAGAGAACTGAGGTATCCTTTAGGAGGGCCTGACTAAAGAGCTGCTGTACGACGGCGCCGCGCTTGTAAGCGAGGATCTCTTGCAAAATCCTAGCATACTTGATCTTTGCAGAGGGGCTGCTATATGACTCCCTTCTAAAAGTACCTGCGATGGAGACCCAGGCTTCAAGTACGGTAGGGCCGTCATCAGACATGAGCTTGGATGCGTAGTCCTCAACTTGCTGCTCCATTTTCTGCAGCCGATTGAAATGCGCAAGCTTTCAGCTCACCACACCACACCTGCTTTCCTCCTGCGCCTTATCGATAGTAAACTGTGGGCTTGTTTGCTATGCAGGCTTCAGAGTCTTCAGGGGCTTACCGTTATAAAAGTACTGGTATGTCTTAGAGCAAGCTTCAGCACCCTACTTGACGATAATCTTGCATACATCGTCAGCTCATTGAGCGCTGGCTGTGCTTCTTCTTCGCGCTCTCATATTGGTCGTGCATTCAGGCTCGCTCTCAAGGCCGGCAGGGCTCCTCTGGTGGAAGCGACATGCTTTTCGAGCAGTTCTAACCGGCAACTGCATGCCGGCATGCATGTCGTGCCATCGCTTTGGGAATTGATCCACATACAATCCAGGCTAGACCATGCCAGGTTTTGCAGAGTCCAAACTCGTGAGGTTACCCTACATGGCAATTGCGCGAGTAGTATTGTCGGCGACAGTCACGGCTTTACTTTGGCAAACTGCCTGGACTCGGATGTTCCATTTGAACAATCATTCGTGCGTCCATGATGGGTTGTACGTCAATCTGCAACCAGGATTTAAGGATTAATCCAACTCAATGCAGGATTCCAGCCATGCATGTGCGCGGCCGCCTCATTATCGGTGTGACCATGCAACCTTGCAGGTCTGAGCGCGTGACGCTCAAGGCGCTATGCCAAGATTTTACATGTGATTCAATTGAATAAGCGAACAACAAAACTCAAATTAAGCATGTATTTAAATTCAATCGATGCAAGCGCTTGTTCGACAAAGAACCACTAGCATTAGCTAGCTTTAGCTAGAGCTGTGCACATGAAAGCTAGATCCTTGCCCGTGTAACATGATGTGTAATGTAGCGGCGCTGCAATTATGCAATTGTCCCCATGATTGCAGCGCGCATGCCCAACGCGTGCATGCCCCAACAGTCATGCACCAGATTGTATAGATCATGGGGCTTGCCTGCAAAAAGTGCCTTGGCTAGATATCTACAACTAGCTAAATAAGGTCGATCCGATGATCGACCGTCCAAGTTCGAAGAAGTGCCAGTACGTATAGCTAGGACCCGGACCATATGCCATGCAGTCATGCACTGCAAATGATCCATTCAAGCTGAGCCGCGCACGCCACATGACCATTGCAACCGTACACAAGTGTGGTGTCTTGAGCACTTTGAGCTATACGTTCATACGAGTATATCCAGGAATCCATAGTATGCATGCGAGCTGGAGCTCGGCCGCGCTATCCAATCACAGGTTACCGTACCTTTTGAAGTCAATTACATCAAATCGTTGTTCGTTGATGGTCAGTCCGACTGCCTAGTGGTCGCTACCAGTGGCAGATCGACGGTCAAGTTGAACCGAGAAGACGGATTAGATGCTACTAGCTCAACTTGGGGGACTCGATCATGGCCGGCAATCTTCGCCGTGCAAGATCTCTCTTGTACCGTCAAAGCTACACATTCGAATCAAGGCGGTGGCGGCTTTGGATGTACATTTCCGTCCCGGCCACCATGATCAAAAGAGACAACCACGTGGCAGACTGCCCAGCGGCCCTGTGGGAGAGACCGGACACGAGATGCACGGCAATCACCAACGGCCTTGTCAAGATAACGGAGTATCTGCGGAGGGAAAACGTCGTCAGAACGTGTGGGAGAGCCCCGCGCGAGCTTTTGCGATCTGTACAACCGACGAAACATGACCAGGAAACGTTTCGGACGGGATGACAAGGCGTCCACTCGTCCTTTTACCATCTCTTTTGAATTGCTTTTGGAACGCATAGGTAATCAAGGCACTCAACAGGCAATCGCATCCGGAAAACGACAAAGGTTAAACCTCAGTTGGGCGCGCCCTCTTAGAGTCCTGCTGTGAGAGTGCCCAACCCCCTTTGCTCGATTCCGCTTCAGACTGTTTTCCTTTACAAAAGGCAACCTGAAAAGTAGACATCTTCTAGGAGGATAAAACTCACCCCGCAGCCGCTACCCTCACCATCCACTCCCTATGCTCTTGCACCCGCTTCTTCTTGATCTTCCACATCGCCACCCCCCCAAACAGCACCCAGATGACTGCCAGCGCCACGGAGGGGGGTACAAACCCAGGGAACTCCGACAGGGGGGCCATGATCAGCCCTGAGAAGGCTAAAACTGTTCCGGTAGATAGGAAAAGGTAACCAGACGCTCTGTGCAGTGGGAGAGAGCGCTTTCGGACGCTGGGGAGGAATTGAATGGGAGTAGCGCAGAGGTAGAGGACAGCGTTGGCTGCGTGCAGTTGCCAAAGGGAAAGGTGGTCCATGATGTGCTGTCCCGCATCGGCGGCCTTGTCGAGGGCGCCTGGAAAGAAGGGGCTAGGGGACGTTATGAAGGTTGAGCACGCCCCCGCAATCTTAAGCAGGGTGATGCGGATTAGCGAGTAAAAGAAGGTTGAGAAAGTATAAGGAAGGAAGGTTAGACTTGATGCTTTTGCCTACAAGTCAAAGCAACCTTGTTGGTTTTGCCTACTGGTTCAAGGGAACTTGGGAAGTGAGGGTGAGAAAAAAGCTCCCTGGTCAGAACGCCCGATTGAAGGAGGGAGGAAGCCAGCAGTGAGAAATGATGAAGTCGCCTAGCATCACACATATGAGATTTCAACACCGCTGACACTCTTGTTGCATTGAGAGGGTTTATAGATCAGCTGGGTGCCTCAGAAAGTGACATGGACAGCTGACGCTCTTCAAAGGGCTTAATGTCTGAAGAGAGGAAACTTTGGCCTCACCTGATGAAACAGTCTGAATTGCTGCCTCATACCCAGATACGATGGCCAGGCTATATGGCAAGAACATAGCTGAAGTCACTACCAGGGTCCAAAACGTGACTTGCCCCAAGTCTACCGCGCTGCTCAAGCTAGCACGGCCTGCCCTGAGCCCTTTTAATTTGGACCTGATCGGTCCTAGAGTGGTTCCAGAGATGGGGCGTCCGGATTTTTGGTGCTTCTGCTCTGACGACTCCCACCCTCTGTGCGCAAGAGAGTTGCTCATCAGTGCGGCATATTTTAGATCAGCCGTCATCGTGTTGCCTGATAGTCTAGCATTCGAGGCTGCATGTATTAGATGGGACCTGTGCTTAGTGATCGATTGAGGTGGTGGTAGCTTATAGCTGCTGACTGTCAAACTTGTTGGCAGTCTGCGAGCAGCCGCACTTGCACAAAAGCTTCTGCTTTCTGGAGCGGACAAGAAGCAGAGCAGTGTTCCACATTGAGCTGTCTGCAGTTGCTGCAAAGAACCCAAGCCGCCCATGGAGCAATGCTGTCCCTCTCTGCCCTCTCAAGCACGGTTGCTTGATGCTGCAGCTTTTCGCCAGTTGAGCCCACCACCACTGGTGCACCACCCACATGCAAGCTGTTCAGCGTTCAGCCTCTGTAGGACATCCTATGACATCAGCATTGCCTGCTTGGCAAGAACTCAAGAAGGATTCGGTCTTGAAGCTCATTTGTGGCGCTTCGCAGCCGTCCGTCTAATGTACATCAACGATCGAGGGGGCAACCTCATCCGCCTATCCAAACCGTCGATTCGGACGGTCCCTCAAATCGACGGTGCATTATGGAGGTCCCTCAAATCGACGGTGCCTTAAGGAGGTTCCTCAAATCGACGGTGCACTAAGGAGGGATGGCCCAGTTCTCTACTTCACAGTTCACTCGATCGACGCACTCCCGCATCCAAGTTCTTGCGGGAGCTAAGACTTTGCATGGTGGCAGCCTTTGCGACACACACAAACAGGAGAAGTTTGTGGCCAGTTTCCAGCATTCCTTATCAGTGGTCTCGCATAGAAGTTTGTTGCTTCCAAGCTTGGGCTGCTGCCGAGCGCATGCTATTGAGAAGTTCCAAATACAAGTTGCACCATGGGTTCAGAGAGCGGCTCCAGGGCTGGCCGGCAATTCCGCTTCTGCATTGACAGGGGAGGCACTTTCACCGACATTTATGCAGAGGCAAGTCTCTTCTCGTTTCTTTGCTCCTGACTTCAAAAGTTCAACAGTATCGCCACTGGCTTGCCACTCCCCTATCCTTGAACTTAAACTTAAAGTTGTTTCTCCTAGATGATGCTGATGCCACACTTCTCAGTAATTTCCTTTGACGCAATCTTCACCACATATCTTGGTGACATTGTAAGAAGTCTGTGGGGTCCCCATTGTTATGTCTTTCTCTTCAATTCCTCCCTCGTTGCAATCAAGATCGATTTGGGATGCATGTTGCTCAGTTCACTTGAGTTGTTTCCGTATTGAGCAGCTTGTTCCCCTCAACGCTGTTGCTTGAATGTTCAAATACCATAGTGTGCATGTCATTGCTGCAGCTACACTATCTTCACTGGGATACCTTAAAACAGCACCCCACTCGTGTTAAGAGAGCGACTTTTCCGATGGATTCGAGGCCCAGTGCCTTCACGATGCAGGAATGTTGTCGGTCTGCTTGCTCCTACTGAAAACCCATTGAACAGTTCAACAAATTCATGATTGAGTTTCCCTTTCTTCCCTTTTTTTGCCAGAAGTTTGAAGCTCTGATTTGGTCTGCCAAAGCCTTGTTCCTTTGCTTGATAGCTTGAAACCTTGTTTCAACCGCAGTCCTTTTATGATTGGCCCTTTTCCATGATCGGGCCCAGACGCTTGGTTTGTTGACATATCCATGTAAGCTATCATGATGTTGTTTATCCACTCTTTCAAGGTGTCTTTCCACATCCCCCCAGTGTCTTGTGAAATCACCTTTGATTCCCATCTTTCTGAGCTCTCTGAAAGGTTGATTGTCAGCATAAGACCTTGGCTTTCCACTGCCCAAATCATCGTTATGAATAGTCACCTTTGAGGGCTAAAGACCTGCCCAACAACCTTCCATTTGAACAAGTTTTTGGTAATCCCTGTCTTGATACTCGAAGACTTTTCAGAATCTGACACTGTGACCCCCTCTGTTGCTGCACCATCATTATCTTGCAGCATCAGGCGATTGACTGCCAGGAAAGGAGACTTTTTACGATGTGCTCCACACCGCCAAAGCTTGACAATCCAAGTTGTATCAAAAGCTCGTTAATGCAGATGGCCAACGGAAAAGTCTGCCACTACTTACTAGCCTGCTTGCGAATTGCTGGCTGCAGGTCCCTGGAGAACCGGGGTGGCGAGTTGAAAAGCTGCTGTCAGTTGATCCGGGCAACTACAAGGACGCACCCAGGGAAGGCATCCGCAGAATACTGCAAGAGGTGAGGATGATTTGGGAGAACGTCTTGTTGAGGAATGCGCATTGTCAATCCTGGTTCGTTGCACTGGACACCGGGAGTCGACTTATTGTTAGAGATCTGCTCGATGTTTGGCAGGCAACGAATTTGGCACGGGCAGTAGCGTTTTGAGACGCCCCCATTCAAATAGAGTCCAAACAAGAAAGATGATCTGAGGGGACGAGTTGAGAGCTGGAAGAAGTGCTCTATTGCCGCTCCAGCGTGCTGACAATATCTCTGATCGCGCTCGATTGGGTTTCTTGGAGTTGATGATGTGTAGCTTGTTCTTGCTGCCTTTCCGAGTACGAGGCCCAGAGGGCTAATGCAAAAAGATGCTCGCCAAAAGATGGAAAAGGAGAAAAACAGAACAAAAGAAAGAAAGAATTAAGAGGAAAACAAAAGAGAGAAACAGACCAAAAAGTTTTCCTACGATTGATCATCCGTCCCTGATGGCAGGTGACTGGGAAGGACATCCCTCGCGATGTCAAAGTCCCAACGGAGGAGATTGACTGGATCCGCATGGGTACGGATCTCTTTCTCCTAGACTCTCTTTATCAGTTGCTGCTCCACGAGAATATTTCGCAATTTGCTACTGAAGACAAAGGTGGGTGTACTAGAGATGACCTAACATGGTCGAAAAGTGCCTGAAGAGTGACCTTTCTTGCGCTCCTCAGTCACTAGTGGGTGACACGTGTCAAGATTTTTCAGCCTGTTGGTCCTTGAACCGTCCAATTTTACTCCGACGGAATGTTTCGAAGCTTCGAGAAAGGCGAGTCACCACTCAAGCTCTGGCTGCAGGCACAACTGTCGCTACGAATGCGCTGCTTGAGCGCAAGGGTGAGAGAACTGCCCTGTGCGTAACCAAGGTAAGGCTTCCGACGATCATACGAAGACCCTGCCTCGATTGCTGGCTCAGCAACAACATCATACTTTTGGCACCATATCTGTATCCGAGCAGTTTTACAGATTCGGGGGTGCCGGGAATAGATTCAGATATCAGATATTTATTAAGAGTTCGCAAAGGCGCTTTCGCATCCGGGATGGTATAATCAATACTCCCATCAACATTATTTACATCACTTCTTTCATTACATATTTAGGATTCACCACGAGCAATCAGTCGCAGCGAGGAACTTGCAGAGCTGCATCGGTCCATTGACCAGTTGGGGTCCCACAAAAGCAAATGGCAAAGAGCGACAAAGCGGACAGAGCCCGAAAACCACCTCCTTTGACTGCGCAGGGTTTTGGCGACCTGCTGGAGATCGGAAACCAGGCCCGCCCCAAGATCTTTGACCTCACTGTGCGCAAACCATCCCCTCTGTAAGTCCTGCTTCGTCAACGAGGATTTTTGTTTTGAATCCAGCTCTTAAGTGCTTGCTGTCTTATTCAAAGAGTTGCGAGCCATAAAATGGTCTCGCAGGGCCTGTATGAACAGGTATCTTTTTGGATTTGTTTGCCAATCGTGAGCTCTTTTCAGCCCTGTAAGTCTCGTGCGATTTTAGCAGATCTTGTATATTTTTTCGAGCAGACATGGTGCTTTCTTCAATCCCTGTGCACTTAGATCAACGACATTCTGCATTTGGGGATCTCGCAGTGTTTGCAGAATTCTACCTAGGTCAACGTGGCAAATTCCGCTTTGCTTCCGAGGAGAAAAATCCGTCAATTCTGCCGGGGGTTTGTAGTTTGTAACTTTTGGCAGATGTTTAAACGAAGCCTGAACACATCTTAGAGATGATAGCAAATTGCATGAAACGAGGCAGCTTTCGAAGTCCGTCGCGTCCTGGTCAACTCTCTTGACAGGCTTCATCGGCTTTCGTCATCGGCGAACGGATAGCACTTCTACCACTGCACTTCCTTTGCCTAAGATACGAAGCATTCGACGACTTGATCTTCTTAGTGAACCTTCATGCTGCCATCGACGGGCCCGTGATGACGTCACCAGGACACCCTCCCCCCATCAAAGTCTTCCCGTCCAGTAACAATATCCTGGAAAAAAGCAAGTACAACTCTCATTGGAAGAAGGTAGTGAATGTGCGCCACAACATAGTCCAATTCTTGTTTCTGTCAGCAAGGGTAAAATTTTCATTGAAAAGGTTTTTGAGACGAAATGCCCTGGAATAAGACATTTTTACCGCGCAGATATGAGCGCGTGATTGAGGTGGACGAGCGGGTCCAGCTGGCGTTGGACAGCGAGGGCACGTCCGGCGAGAAGGCGTCCGAAAGGGGAACCGCTAGCGGGAATTCCGGCGAAGAAGACGGGGCGCGTCAGGTGCAGGGTGTGTCCGGGGAGTACGTGGACGTCGTTCGGCCGTTGGAGGTAGAAGCGTTGCGGCCCGCTCTGCAGGTACGTCGTGAGATTCTCTAACAAGTGGACTTTCCAGAAAGTGATGTAACATGTTCGAGGATGAGTGAAGGACCTGAAAATCAATCTTCGCTTGTTTCGACCTCTACGTACTTCGTTGCCGCCTTCCTCGCTGGCCGACTCCCGATCTGACAGCCGCGATAGGAGGACTACGGATATCTCTTGTAGCTTCTGTCAAGGTGTCTGGGACCGTGAAACGTGGTTAAACTCCCTATCACTGACGTAAGCTGGATTTATCTGCTACGAAAGCAGTACTGAGACCAGGTCCTGCCGTTTTCGAGTCTGCGAGGAGACAATAGTGGTCTCTTGCAGGGCTGTCGGGGGAAGATGCGTATTTTCTACCACCGCACTCCTGACCGCACTTAGAGCAACCGCAAGTTCGCGAAGACGTTGAGCGGATGAACAGCAGTGGGTTTGACTTCCCCGTACCCCAAACACCTGAAAGCCTTGTTTACTGAAATGCATACCTAAACGTCCGAGAACCTTCCCGTTGCAGGCGGTGTTGGACGAAGGCATCGACAGCCTGGCAGTCGTCCTCATGCACTCGTACACGTTCCCGGAGCACGAGCAGGTGAGGCGCTAGCCTTTGTGCACGTTTCTTACTTTGCACAGCGGCCAAGTTTCGATGTGAACGACCTTGTCCAGCTTCAGGATGCCTCGTCAGAGATACATATCGCCTCTTTGCGAGGAGGCCTTCTTGAAGCAATGTGCGTATCCTTGTTGTGAAAGATATTGGAGTTCTCGAGTGAACTCCAGGCATTTGTCTTTCTGCTTCGACCCGCTTAGTGAAAAGTCCTCGCATCCAAAACGGCTGCCATATGCTGTATCGTAATAGGAAGCTGCCACCTATTGCTTTCAAGTGCGAGCTGCGTGAAAATTGGGGTACAGCTCCTCCTCACCACACCTCGGCGCGAACGCGTTCAGAATGTCAGCTGCTGCGTTCTTACTGGCAGATAATCGGCGACCTCGCCAAGGAGATGGGCTTCAAGCAGGTGTCGCTGTCCTCCGATCTAGTTCCCATGGTGCGCATCGTGCCACGTGGCCACACCGCGGCAGTGGACGCATACCTGACGCCCAACATTCAGGACTACCTGAAGGGCTTCCTTTCAGGTGCAGTAATACTCAAAAGCTTAATTTGACGGTGAATTCACAAGGTTTTGTGTTTCAGGGAGTTGGTCTTTTGGGATAGGTGCGGTTTGTTCTGAATGCAAGGGGTTCTTCGGCCGTCTTTTGTTCACGCTTCATCCCCGAGTGAGCTCAAAATCCAGGACAATTCGAAGGGCTTCCTTTCAGGTGCATGCAATACTGACATTTTAGCTGACATTTGACCTTCAAAATGTGTAGCCGCCAAAGGATCGATGTATTGAGATGGGCGAATTCTCCGGTTGCAAGGACGTGCTGGAATTCTGGACCATCTTCGTTATTGCTTTGCCCACCGAAAGCCAGCCCTCGCAAGTGCGTTTTCGCCCACTAGCAAGACTTCTAACAAGCCGTGTTCAACGTGTTCGGAGTCAGTAATTGGAGTGGCTTGCCCTTTGCATATCCTCAACTTTCGCTTCGCATCAACCACGAGCTTGTGACCGTTGACTCTCTGCCAACTTGCGATTGACTCGGTCCTGCCGTTGCCTCAATCATTTCCGGACCGTTCTTCTTTGAATTCAGAAGTCAGTCGGGCACACTCACAGGGTCCACACGTGTTGACCACCTGAAACGACGGATTCATCTGATGGTCTGCCATATGCTTTCTTTTCGGAATAAGAGCTCTTAGAATTAAGGTCGCCTTTCAAATGCGTCCGCGTTTCTTACTCGCTCTTCAACACACTGAACAAATGGCTGCAGACTGCTTCTCAGCCGCAAGTGAAACGAGTATTTATCTCGTGCAGGCTTCGACGACGGTTTGGACGAGGTCACCGTTTCGTTCATGCAGTCAGACGGCGGGCTGACTCCAGCTAAGCAGTTCACTGGGTTCAAAGTGAGGCCTGGAGATGCTGGTGTCTTTCGAAATCTGTATCTAAAGACCTTTTTGTTTCCATCAACGATGTACATTCATTTTGCAACCCTCGACTTCAACGTCTTCGCAAGTTCTGTCCGCCCTTGGTTTGTCGATTGGTTTATCATGCCCAATCCTGACTCCTGAAACCATTCGCAAGAACTTTGCATCCACGTGGGAAGGGTCTGCGGTGCCCTTGAGATGCTATATGCGACGAACACTTTCAACACGTGCTCATCTGCCATGTGCGTTTTGCAGGCAATCTTGTCAGGCCCCGCAGGCGGCGTGGTCGGATATGCCCTTACCACTTTTGGTGTGGAGACGGAGCAACCGGTGAGCACAAGGCCTTCGGCACCCCGGTCAACTGACTTTTGGTTAAACCTATTCTGCCTATGTCCAAATTGCTCAAAAGGAGTTCTTGATCCAGCTCCACTTCATCGTTGCACGAGGGTGGTCTTTTACCCCATTCAATCTTGTTTCGAAACTTCCAATCAAAGTGTAGCTCGCTCCCAGGCACGTACACCAAACGTCGTTTCAAAAAGCACGCTGACTTAATCTGCAAAAGACGAATCTCTGCCTTAGCCGCGACAACCTGTTTCACTGCCAGGTGATTGGCTTCGACATGGGCGGGACGTCGACTGACGTCAGCCGCTACGCTGGCCACTACGAGCAAGTCGTCGAGACGCAGACGGCGGGCGTCAACATTCAAGCCCCGCAGCTCGACATCAACACCGTTGCGGCGGGGGGAGGCTCCAAGCTCTTCTTCCAGGCGGGCGTTTTCAAGGTGTGATTGGAGATTGAAAACCTTTCTATCTTGGAAGCATTTCAGTTGTGGACTTGTCTGTTATAAGGATACGGATGTCGTTCAGTACTCGTGTGTCTCTAGCCATTCGAAAGGTGGAGAGCCGTTGTTGCGATGTGCGTCAAGGGGCGCAAAGTGTGTGCCTGGCAAACTAACGCTGCTTCGAGCAACCCTCCCTTTTCTTGTAAGTACCGCGAAAATAATATGGTCGTTTCATTCATCAATTTGAAGACGGACGTCACCACGACGTAACCGCATGTATCGCCGTAGAACGTTCTAAGACCGGCTTTCTACCCGAACGCGGAAACGTGCTTCGTTTCAATGACACCTGCCACGTGTCGGTTTCTGACAGGTCGGTCCGGACTCGGTGGGCGCTCACCCGGGCCCCGTGTGCTACAAGAAGAAGGGCGGGGAACTCGCGGTGACGGACGCAAATCTACTGCTCGGGAGAGTGCTTCCCGACTACTTCCCTAAGATCTTTGGACCCGAGGTCAGCTCTGGAAAAGCGCCCCGCATTGTTCGCTTTCTTGCGCTCTTTTGCTGAGGACAAGGGTGACTGTGAAGGTCTCCCGACTGAAAAATCTAGAGTTTTCTGTTAGGGGTCCGTTTCGATTTTGTAAGCTAAAGAAGTCTCGGAACACGGCCAGATGAGAGTTGGAAGCGGCATATCGTCTTGCTTCTTCCCGTCGTTTGAATGTCATCCGATCAGTTCAAAGTCCTCAGTTGATCTTTCGAAGGACTGAGCGGGTTCATGAAAGTCGATCTCGTTTCGTTGACTGTTTTAGGCTCACCTAAGCGAGTAGCTTCTTGCATCGCCCTTCACTACGCCGACACTTCGGCGCGCAGAGTCGCGCGCCTGAGCAGGTCGGAACATGCTGACGTCAGCGTGGCCACGTGTCCACAGGAGAACGAGCCGCTGGAAGTCGACGCGACCCGGAAGGCGTTCAAGGAGTTGGCCAAGGAGATCAACGCACACCGGACGGCACAGGGGGCTGGTGGTACGGCTCTTTGCGTCAAAGCTCCCACCGTTTACCTCAAGCCTTGACCTTCCTTACTGGTTCTATCCACTGAATCAGCCGGTTTCAGTGATCGTGGGTCTAGTATTGCACAGGCGGTCAGGATCGGGCTTCCAAGGGTGGCAAATTCCAAGAAGAAAGCTGTACTCTGCACTTTAGCACCCTCGTTTCGCATCCTGCGATCCTTCGAAATCGGCTGTCCAGTTGGACTGGCTGTTTGCTTGGACCACGTTCACTTCTGGCAGCCACAAAGGCAGCTCTTCGCTCCAATTCCTGCACACCCCTTTGGTGTAAGTACTTCCTCCGCCAGCTGTGTTTGTGCCTCCGTCTCTTCATGTTTTGGGCGAAAGCTTAGGGGACTCAGGGAGCTTTCCTCAGAGACCTACCGTGCTGCTGGTCAACCTAGGAGACTCAGCGAAACCTGCTCACGAGCCCTAGCATGCTGTCCTTATTGCAGAGCCAATGAGCGAGGAAGAAGTCGCGCTAGGCTTCTTGAACGTGGCGAATGAAGCGATGTGCCGACCAATTCGACAGGTGAGTGACGTGGTCACTGTAGAATGATAGTTTTGCCTTCAATGTTCTGATGAGGAACAAGCTCTAAGTCACGAGCGATATCATTCTGGCATGCTTGGTAGATTGTCAGATTCGTTGGCGTCATTGCTTGGCGAGCCTCTGTATGCAGTGATTGGTTGAATAGTGAACGACCGAGCGCACTTACAATCTTCTGCAGCTGACGGAAATGAAAGGCCACGATACGAGCCAGCACGTGCTCGCCTGCTTCGGTGGTGCGGGGCCGCAGCATGCGTGCGCTATTGCACGCGCTCTCAAGATGCGTGAGTGCCCTCGCTCCCCAGAACTTCCATGTACTTCTAAGATAGACCCTTTCCGCCCTTTTCCTTGGTCGTGTATTTCCATCTGTTCCATCTTCGGATCCTTTCGAGAGGTTTCGCTTTGCACTGGCAAGCACTCTTGAGCTTCCTATGCCCAAATCATGCAGTCGCGATCTACGAAAACATCTTCGTTCCAGCTCCGCGTCCACCCCTGTGCCGACCTTGCCAGCACTTACGCTATGGACTTTGCTGAGGTTGTCTCCAAGCATCCCCGCATCTCGAAGCAAAGTAGCTCCAACCGCCAACAGTATTCAGATGCCCTGAAAGTCTCCTGTCAGGCACCGTGCTGGTCCACCGCTACGCCGGCATCCTGAGCGCCTACGGCATGGGCCTTGCTGACGTCATCTCTGAGGCGCAAGAGCCCACCAAGCTGACGTACTCTGACGCCAGCTTGTCGGAGATCAAGGAGCGGGGGGCGCGGTTAGAGGAGCGGGTTAAGAGCGACCTGCGGCGGCAGGGCTTTGGCGAGAAGGACATCGAGACGGACCTGCTGCTGAACCTGCGGTACGAGGTGGGTTGGTACCGGGTTTTGCATAACCGTTATGGGGGTCGTGGGTTTTAATAACTAGATCTTGCAACCCAAATTGGGGTCGTAGGGTTCTGAGCGGAGCGGGTGCCTCGGCTGGGCTTTGCCGAAGTCTGCGGATGAGCTGATTGGATATTTAGATATTTGTAAAAGTTTTGCGTTTCAGGGCTTGCAGTCAGGGCTCACAGTGCAGAACATCAAGGAAGTAAAGTCCGGCAGCGTAATGCAGTCCGGCAGCGTAATGCTGGTAATAAGGACGTTAACGAAAGTCGGCCGCTGAGTTGGAGCAACTTGTTAAGCTACCAACTCCGTTTAGGATTTTAGAATCTAAGGTTGCAATCATGCGGACTGGCAATCATTGACGGACCGTCTCAGTGGGTCGGCCCAGAATAAACGGGTCTGCTTGTGCCCGACAACTCCTCAGATGCTCTGTGGGTTGCCCCTCTGAAGCTGCGGAAGTCTGAGCGGTACGAACCGTTGTTTGCAGGGTACGGACACGTCGATCATGGTGCTCCCGCCCAAGGACGGCAGCCAAGATTACGAGCGTGCCTTTGTTGAACAGTTCAAGCGAGAGTGAGTGGTCCGCTTTCTGTGCACTCCTGGTGAACTCTGGGACGGTTTACGGTTCAAACGGCCGGTATCAAGAAAGTGAAATCCATGCTACCTAACTCAGCTGTCAAATGTTAACATACACATAGCCGGAGGTAAGGCAGGGACTTTACGCTTCCCGGATCAGCTGTCAGACGGGTCAGCCCCCACCCTTTGGATCGGTCAACATCGCAATCGCAAGCGCAATAAACGCCCATTTGAAGGCGAATATGCCTTGACAGAAGTCATGGTTGGCACCAGTCTCTTTTTTTGGTCGCCCTCCCCAGCCGGCAAGCATAGCGCTGCCCTCGGGACGCCTCTCTCTCCGAGAAAAATGTCTACAGCGAGACGGAAAGATTGAGTTGCCTTTGCTTTGGTGAAAGGGGAAGGCCAGTAGTTTCTGCAATGTTCTCTTGGTGCGTCGCGAACAGGCTTTTGAGTAGCGCCAATCGCGGTTGTCGAGCCAGAAGATGCTGAGCGTCCGCTCATAAGAAATCGAGGTGCAGTGCAAAATGTCGTTGATGAGTGCTGATTCTCACCAAGAACTTGCACCATCTCACGGTCTAGATTGAAGCAGCCATTCTGGACGGTCTCGATTGAAGCAGCCATTCTGAACGGTCTCGCAGCGCAACAAGATAGCGTTTGCAGCGGTGATCTGAAGACTTGACAGAGTCTTGAACTAAGCGCTGCGAAAGTCGTCTAGCTACATGACCACACCAACACCAGTCTAATCACGTTTCCTGCAGGTACGGCTTTGAGCTGCGGGGCCGTTCCGTTCTCGTGGACGACGTCCGGGTACACGGCACCGGACGGACGAACATCCTACGGTAAGTTGCGGACACCAACGGTCGATAGAAGCGCCACCAATTGACGCTAACAATACCCCTCTAATGGGCACCTCTTCGGTGTCGGCTATTTTCGGATGTAAGTATGGGCCATCAAGCCGCAAAAGGGAACTCCGTGCCAGATTCCATAAAGAAAGCCAGATACCTGGGAACGGGCCTTCTGAGTCGGTCCTTTCAGCGAAATCCAGGATATACCTGCATCATTTCTTGACTGCCAGATCAGACTAGTCCGTAAGTTGCGGTTCTGATCGGCCGATACATCTAGTAAGCTCCATTTTTCAGAGATTCAACTTTATGGAGTGACATTGCTGGACTCTCTGAATCAGATTGCAGTCGCAAACCCCAATCGCTTTGAAGCGCAAAAGGCAGTGGAGCTGAGGAACATCGAGGGGCAGTGCGGGAACGAGAAGCGCCAGTAGATCTCTATAAGCAGAATCCTTCTTCGGTGTGCAGGCAGCAGGAGATTGCGGAAGCGGGCGGGCCTCCCGAAGCGGAGCCGAACAAGGCGCGGTGCTACTTCGAGAGCGGTTGGCACGATACCCCGGTGAGATCACCCGGCCACCCCCTCGGTGACTGTGCGCAGGAATAAGTGCTCGGTTAATTTTCCCCAATCATGCAGAGTCCGCTGCTTGAGTTGAATTGTAAAAGGAGAATGCCCCAGGTGATCGCAATCTGCCTGCGGCGATCTTTCTCGACGATGACCTTGCGCTCCACTCTGTAGTCGATGTGGGTACTGTCAGGATGCTCTGGGAGTCATCTTAGTGAAGTCTGGCCTTTTCGATACCTAGAAATATTTCCTCGGAGTTGCGCGATGAGTCATACTCCGCTAACATAAAGTATTTGCGTCTTTGCAAGCGCCTGCCCTACGCTTGCGATAAGCTGTTGAGCGACCGGACGTAGCCGGCTTTGATTCTCTCCTTGTCACAGAGCATCTAGGCTCCGCAATCATCCGCAATCCGGCGGATGAGAGCATGTGCTGACGTGGTGCTGACGTGGCGCAGGTTTACATGCTGAACAAGCTACAGGGCGGCCACACATTCGAAGGGCCCGTCGTCATCATGAACGGGAACAGCACTGTGAGCTCGCCGAATGCCGACTTGTTCAATCGTCAATTTGTTTCTTACCTCGCTCAGCACTCCTTTTCTTATCCTGGCTGTCTGCTCCAAATCTTATGATCGTTTCCTGCTCCTTGTCATGAGCTCTGTGCCTGCCAGTGCATGAATTGGAGTCGGACTCTGGAGGACTTTAAATTTGGTATTTTGGATCTGCTTAGATACCTGATTTGACGGAAGAGCAAATTAAGAAGGCACTTTAAGCACGCATGTGGAACGAGCATTGACGCTCAGTGACCTTTGTATTCCCCCCGGTGTAGACTGTGATCTACAGTCGTGTCTGGTTCACTCCAATGGACGCGTCAAGTCCTTTTTCTCCTTTGAGACGTCTTCGCAAAGTTGAAAGCTTTTCAGGTATGCATGACCATCAAGGTCAAGCATGTCTTTTGTCGAACTTGATAGCGCTTTTACCCTGCGCTTCGAGGGCATTCACACTGAGCTCTCCCGCCCAACAGATCCTGGTGGAACCAGGCTCAAGTGCCGCCGTCACAAAGTACGGCAACATCCGGATTGACGTCGGGCCCATTCCGGCAGCCGGAACCCACACCTCGGAACCGGAACGACCCCCAGCCCAACCGGACACCGGAAGCGGAACGACTTCCAACCAGGAAGAAAAGGCGGGTCAGAGTTCGGTTAGCGCGGGGGTTAGTGGTCGGTCGGTCGGCACAGAGCTGGACGTTGTCCAGCTCAGCATCTTTAACAACCGGTTCATGGGCATTGCGGAACAGATGGGGCGGACGTTGCAGCGGACGTCGATCAGCACGAACATCAAGGTCAGGTTCTTGACTGTTCGTGTAGGCAACATTTTAGACTCTTTGTGCTTTGGAACTAAGATTCTGCTGCGAAGAAGGTGAGCACCTTCGACAATCACTATACGGGCGTTGCCGAACAGATAGGGGGACTCTTCAGCGGACATCCATCAGCGCGAATATCAATGTGAGGTTGTACGGTTTTGTAGAAACACCATCCCGTAGTCTGCGTGTTTTAAGTTCTACAATGTGCGTAAGAAAGAGTGACATACGTACAAACCGCTACGTGTCATCGCAACACATATGGCGCAATTCCCTGCAGTGTTCTGTGAATGACGTCACGGTGATGAATCATTTCTTGCAAGGTTTTGATGAGGTTTCAAGGTATTCAAGGGGTTTTCGCTCAGCACGCAATCATCATGCAGGCAATGACTAGTCTGATACACAAGAGGCACCACCTGGCCTCTTCTTTGTCCAACCACCAAAGCCCTGCTGTTCTCCCGCCCCGTGCTGTTCTCCCGCCCTGCTGAAGCGCCCCGGGAGAACAGCTTTCTCGCAAAACACCTGGCCAGATATTCCCGAACCACTCTTACCCGCGTCTGCAGGAGCGCCTCGACTTTTCGTGCGCGCTCTTCAGCCCCGACGGCGGCCTCGTCGCAAACGCGCCCCACGTACCGGTCCATCTAGGGGCCATGTCCAACACCGTGCGGTGGCAAAAGAGCCACTGGTAAATTCTTCTATCGACATCGTCTTGGATCACATTCTTTTCTGGTAAAAAATCCGAAAGTGCTTGAGTTCGTGGATCGCAACCGCTTCCTTCTTCCATACGAGCGGTACATTCGTCCTTATCGGCAGGAGCTTTAATGACGTAAGTAGCACCGATGATCGTTTTCTGTGGCGTGAAGTTTTCTACGATGCCCCTGCCTTTCATTACACGCACTTAAATTTTCCCCCTGCATAGCTTGATGGTGTTCATCCCAAAAACAGATTGCTATCAAGGTTTGCGCCACTGCAGAGGCCCAGTATGCTCGAAGGCGTCTTTGAATGGCAATCCTGCTGAAACCAGAGGTTGCCCCGGTAACAAGCTCAATCCTAATTGAACAGACACAGAATATTCTGCGTCCACCCCAGATTTCGAACTCACAATTGTGCTGCCCGGCACAAAGTCCTTCCCGATCATTCCCTAAAACGTGCGCCTTACTAGAGCGCGCTGCCGTTGTTTCCTTTCAGGGGCGACAATCTGCACGACGGTGATGTCCTGGTGACCAATCACCCCACGGCAGGTGGCAGCCATCTGCCAGACATTACGGTCGTCACGCCCGTAAGTGTGACGTCACCTCAGCCTCCCTTTGCGAGACTTCTTTTCATCCGTTCGCTGCTAGCCAACCGCAAAGCAGAGGGTTTGGTCCTCTATGAGACTTCTTGTCGTAGCAAAGGATGATTGGACACTTGACAAGCAAAGCCGGCTGGAACGTTTAGCAAAGCTTGCCAAAAAGACGGGAGGGCGTTGCAACATAGAATCAAGTTAGGGGTTGATGAAGCAGGCTTCGTAGCGGTCTTGAGATACGGGAGACCCCTCAGTGAGAAGACTTGCAACGAGAGTGTCTTGCTCCCTTAGGCATCCGTCTGGTTGTCCGTTCTTGCTTCTTCCCGTTCCGTTGTTCATGGTGCGTTCCGCTAGCAAACAGAAAGCGCTGTGCTACACAAACGCTTCATAAAGCGAAGAAGCCGACGAAAGACAGAGGCCGGAAACGGTCTGACAAACGTGATTCGTACCAGCTAAAACGCGACTCCGAACCGGAATCTTCACAACGACGCACTTACTTCGTACTTGAAGGCTCCAATCAAGGATCGATTTTTTGCAAAGCAGACGTTGCCCAGACGATAATTCCTTCACGCTGACGTCATGCAGGTGTTCCAAGACGGGAAGCTGGTGTTCTTCGTGGCCAGCCGAGGCCACCATGCGGAGATTGGGGGGATCACCCCGGGCAGGTGGGTAGTTTTATAAGGGATGCCCTGCGCCATAGCCGATGGGCTTTTCTTCTACCTCGGGTCGTCTTTTCGAGTCCTACGTTTTTCCTTGATGGTCAACAAAACCTTGTTGATGATCATTCACTCTGCATCCTGCACATTTCATCAGCTTCTTCTGGCCTGCTGTGTCCCCTTCAACAACTGCGCGCCCTGCCGTAGACTCACTTCCCGCATTTTGGTTGCACCTCCTTTTGGTACGGTCTCAGCGTATGCCCCGACCAACGGGTATCTGTTTGCGGGTCACATACTTTGATCCAAGCAGTATTCTTTTGTGCAGCTTTGTATGTGGCATCACTGCGCTTAAAGAATTTTTTCTTGTTGAGCGATCTTATTCAGTTGCACAGGTTGGACAAAATTTGCCGGACCTCATTCCGCTCTTTAATCCGTTTCTTGCAGCATGCCGCCATTCTCCAAATTCATCTACGAGGAAGGTGCCGCGATCAAGGCCTTCAAGCTCGTCGAGAACGGGGTCTTCCAGGCAAGTCTACTGACGTTGTATTTCGGACCTGTGTCTGTTCCCTTTTCGAAGATCAGCTCTGAAATCAGATTGCTGGGTTGATCGTTAGTTTTGGATCCTCTGCGTAGCTTTTCACGTGTCCCTTGAGTGGCAGCGACCCCGCATTCGGAGCCTTGTAAGGCTACTCTTTCCTGCCTTTGTTAAGTCTCGGGCACTTTTCGCCTTTGTACTGCCTGTCGAGATGTTGCTCTTGTGATATTTTCGAGGCTGTCTTCTGCCAAGTTTTCCTACGAGGACGGGATTCGTCCGGAATGGTGTCCTTTGACATTACAAACTTTGCTATCAAGTGACGTTTGTGTCAGCCTCGGACCTTTTGTCTTTCTTCTTCGCATTCCCGTCTCAAGGTGGGCAGTAGAAATTAACACAGGCCAGTTTGCGTACTGCGTGATACCAATTCACAGACAGACTCTCTATCTCGTTTCCCGACCTCGGATTTTGACGGTTGTATCCTCCCGTAAATCGCGATAAGGACGGTTGCTTGCCACGTGTCCAGGAGGAGGGCATCTGTGCGATACTGACGGCAAAGACCAAGAGCGAAGAGGCGGACGAAGACGGCAAGGATGTCGTCATCCCCGGGTCCCGGAAGGTGGAGGACAACCTCTCGGACCTGCGCGCGCAGGCAAGCGCCGTTCTCTAGATGCCCACGAAAACCTGCTTCTGGTTTCAGATCCGATCGAGAACTCAGTGCAAGCTTTAAAAATTGCTGAATTACTGAAGTGTAATACAAGCGCTCCTAAATGGTGTTCTTTCTGGCCGCTTCATCAGAGTCGTTACAAGGGGGCTGCTTTCTGGAAACGCCATCTCCGATCGACGGTTTTCATGCAAGTTCTCGAAAGTAAAACGCATATAAGTGGAAATTTACAAGTGAAAACCTACAAAGCGAAAACTGGCAAGTATCCTGCCAAGCGAGTTCCAGGAGCACTGCGGCCGCCCTTTCGCTTTCATGCCCCATAGCGGGCGTTCTGCAAGATTGATACGGGCGATCTTCCGTTCGGCAGGTGGCGGCCAACCAGCGGGGTATCTCCCTCATCGGAGAGCTGATCAACCAGTACGGGCTGGATGTGGTACAGGCGTACATGCGCTATGTACAGGTCAGTCTACTAGAGTCAATCCTTTCTACTGGTGCCCAATATTTAATTGAATGCAGGGATGCAGAGACGGGCAGCAAAGGCTTCGGCGAGAGCGAAGCAGGCTGCCATTGGGGGGCACTTCCGGTTCTCGCCTTTTCCTCTTTTTGCCGTTGACTTTGCTTCGTTTTTATCATGGCAGTGCAGGTGAAGGTTGTCATATTGGTCTTGCCAACCTTCTTTTCCGGGATTGATATGGTTGCTCATCGAGAAGCCTTTGTGACTAGATGTGGGCAGAAGAGGACTCCCTGCTGCTCTAGCGGGGCTGAGAAGAGCGGTTATAGATTGCTGTCGGTTTTAAGCAGCGGATATTAGCACGCACCCCAGGCGCTGAAAGTGTTGCTCAAGAGGGTCGTATGGAAGGGAAGGCTCTAACTCAAACCTGCCAACTCTAGGAGCTGATCACTTGCTCCCGATGATCCAAGCTTGGTGATGAAATCTTCCAACGTGCAGGAGAAAACGAAGAAGGCCGTTTGAGAAGTGCCAGCGGTTTCACATCGAGTCTCCAGAAACGAAATTTTGTTTGTCTAATGCTAGGTCTGCCGACTCTACGTACTTCAAATGCAGGGGAACGCGGAGGGGGCCGTTCCAGAGCACGGTATAGCGTGTCACCAATCAGGGCTTCGTGGAGCGTACCTCCGGATGTCTAGGCCATCTCTTCTGAACCGCTGGCTACCCTTGTTCTCTGCACGTACGCTGAAGTTCCGGTCATCCACTGATTTCTTTCGAACCTGTAGGAGAACGCGGAGCAAGCGGTTCGGGAGATGCTCAAGGGCGTGGTGAAGCGCGTCGCTGATCAGCGCTTCGCAAAGTAAAGTCCTCAAATCACGAAAACACCTTGTCAATGTAATCTTTGGTTTGCAGACCATATTAGTTTTCAATTGCAGGAGAATGCGGAGCAAGCGGTTCGGGAGATGCTCAAGGGCGTGGTGAAGCGCGTCGCTGATCAAGGCTTTGTGGAGCGGACTGGGGAAAACGAGGTGGTGCTACGCGCGCGGGATTACATGGACGACGGCTCCACGATCGCCCTCAAGCTGACGATCGATGGAGAAAAGGGCGAAGCGGAGTTTGACTTCGAGGGGACAAGCCCAGAGGTGGGGCACTGCTTTCTTGTGCTTGTTCTCAAAAATAGCCGAGACCTTCTTAGAGGGAATCAGCCCAATGTTGGGAGTCCTCACTGAATCCTTGTGAGTCTTGCTTTAAGATAGAATTGAATAGAAACTCGTACAGCGACTTCTGTTTGGAAGACATTCTTTGGTCTTGTTCTGGCTGATATCGACTATGTTGCGAGTTTGAAGAGAAGAATTGACGCTATTAACTCTACTCCCTCTTCTTCGGGTCCGCATCAGCGAAAATAATGCACATGGGATGATTGCCAGGGGTCGACATAAACCCATCATTTTAGACAACGCTCCGCTTTCTGCTTTCTGACAGCGATGAACTTATCTGGCCATGTTTACTTGCGGTATCTCGGATAAATTAGTGTTTGCGGGCAGTCATTATGAGTGCCGGTTCAGGGCGGGTACTTACATTCATCTCCAAGCCTCAAGGCCCCATCCTAGCCTTACGCCAACACTTAAAGAAGGGCGTAAAATTTTAAGATTCCGATCTCATGCATCTCAGTCCTGAGGAAAAAAAGCCATCCGACGGCCCACATCCCATCCTGGAAAATCTTTTCCGGCGGCCAATCTTGCGTCCTGGGGCAAGATCTGGTCGCTGGAAACGGGATCGGTTCTCCAACGCCCTCTTCAAAGCCGTGACGTCCACGCTGACGTCAGCACCGCGCGCGCAGGTGTACGGCAACTGGAACGCCCCCGAGGCGGTTACTGCAGCTGCCGTTATCTACTGCGTCCGCTGCCTGGTGAGTCCATTCTCGCTTTTTTCGGCCCTCTCGATTCCGCTGCGGTGATGTTCAAACAATCTCAGGATCCATCTTGGATCCTGAAACGAATCGAATCGTTTACGTTGCTGAGGACGTCCCGGCTTTCCAACCGAAGAAGTGTAGCCCAAGTAGAAGGGACGCTTCTCCATTCTGACCTAGTAGACATCTCGAAAGGTGCCGCGTGCCCCGCAGTCAGCTCGCCACGTAGACAATCTTGAACCCGGGCTGCTTCATGTTGGGCCTGATAATTATAGACATCCCCCCCGATTCAAAATTTAAAAGTGCCACGTGTCCTGCTCTTGTCTTGCCAGGTGGACATCGACATCCCGTTGAACCAGGGCTGCCTGGGCCCGGTGACCATCAAGATCCCCCCCGGGTGCTTCCTCTCGCCCAGCGACAAGGCCGCCGTCGTGGGCGGCAACGTGCTGACGTCACAGCGCATCACGGACGTCGTGCTAACGGCGTTCCAGGCGTGCGCGTGCTCCCAGGGGTGAGTTCTGAGGTTTCGGTGATTTTGGGTTAGCGAAAACCAGGATTCGGTGCGTCCTGACGTGTCCAAGGTCCTGTTTGCCACGGAGGGTTAGGCTGGCTTCTGAAGCGTAGGTTTTAGAATCGCTGTGCAGGTAACAGGAGTCTCTGCGTTTTATACGAACTGCGTTCTTTCTGCCGCTTTTGATGTGCCGAAGTTATTCCGGGCATAAGCGCGTGCCCCTCATTGTTGAGTGGGTGGCGCCGTCCATGTTCACAAATCAAAGTAGAGCCTCGTCAAACACAAAAGCCGTTGTGCGAAGACCCATCCCTCTGTTCGGCTCGCTGACATCGTGCCGACCGCACTCCCGACGCACTTATGCCTACAGGGGTGTGATTACGGGTCTCAAGGGTTATCTGACAAAGTGACAGAACAGACTCATGCCCCTTCTTGGATTGTCTGCTTACACTTTGATTGCGACGGTTTCAGGAATCCTGCTAAAACAGATTTGCTAAGTTGCTCGACTGCGAAAGCGATCGCTTCCGGAATCCTGCTTAATATAACCACTTTCCAGGTGCATGAACAACCTCACGTTCGGCGACAACACGTTCGGCTACTACGAGACAATCGGCGGCGGCTGCGGCGCGGGGCCCACGTGGGACGGCACGAGCGGCGTGCAAGTCCACATGACCAACACGCGCATCACCGACCCGGAAATCTTCGAGCGCCGCTACCCGGTAGGTGTCTCCGGGCCCAGCTTGCCGCATTTAACATTGCAGTGTTGTATTTTTACTTTTTAATCATCCTTTCTTCTGGATTCTGGATTCTTTGGTATGCCGCATTTGATCAAGCGTACCGGTGCCTGGTACGCCGCCCTGAGCCCGGCTCGCCGCGCCTGCATTTGAAGACGTTCTCTTCCTGGGAACCTCTTCGAGCCATTTCATGGCATTCATTACCCCGCTCCTGTGTAAATGATCGTTTATCTTGCTCCATTGTTCCTTCTACCGCAACCTTGCGTGCCTGTGCATGTTCTTTCGCCGGTCAAAAGTGCTCTACAGAAGGTGTTATCAATACCGCGCCGGACTCAATCTAGCAGACTGTGCCTGGCGGCGTTTCTGTAAAACTGTCGGCGGTCTTTCGCAAAAGTTGACTCGCATAACCAGATTTGCTGAATCATATGGATAACTTTGTCGTGTTCGATTTTGCCTCAGGTGCTTCTGCACCGTTTCGGTCTGCGAGAGGGCAGCGGCGGCGCGGGGGAGCACCGGGGGGGAGACGGCATCGAGCGAGACATCGAGTTCAGGAAACCCGTGACGGTGAGCAGACCTGACATGCAGTCGAACCTCATTTCTCGAAACGAGGTGGTACGCAACCGCACCAAGATGCAAACGCGGATCGAAAAGGTTTTTACTACGGAGCGTTATAGATGTAGGGGATTTACACGGTTGTGTTCGTTCTTGCTGCAAGTGATTGTTATGTCAGGGCGAGTCCATGCGCCGCCGGGCTGGCAAAGTAAGGTATTTTCATTCCCTTTAAGTTCCGTAAGAATGCGGTACGAGGAAAGTGTCGTGTCATTCAAGAAAAGCAAAAAGCGAGTTTCTCTGCGGCAGCTCAGCAGCTCGTTCGAGCGGCCCGTGCACAGGTTGCTGAGCGGGAGCGACGGCGGGAGAATCCTGTTCTCTTTCTTTGCAAGTCCAAGATGGAGAAAATCAAGATCAGCTCACTTGAAGGGCGCTATAACGAGTGTGCTTTCGTGCGCAGGTTAGCAGTTTGGCGGGGGGTGCACACGCCGCACGGGCTGCTGGGCGGGATTTTGCGCAGAGAACCTTCCTTCTCATTCTTTACTTCCTCGGAGGATACGGTTCGAGCAAAAATACCATGTTACGGAGTTCAAACTAAAAGGGAGCCTGTTTTCCTGTGGCAGGTCAGCATCTTATCAGAGCGACGCGTGCACGCGCCGCACGAGCTGCTGAGCGGGAGCGACTTCGGGGAATATTGTTTTCATTTCTTTTAGTTCTGCAAGATGTGTCTGTAAAACAAGATCAGGGGAACCTAAAAAGAATGTGCTTTTGTGAGGCAGGTCAGTATCCCATCCGAGACGCCCGTTCACAGATTGCTAGGCTGGGGCAAACGGCGGGGAAGAATCTTCCCATCCCCTTCAAACTTGCAAGAATACGGACCAAGGACAAGACTACTCCACTAAGCGAAGCTAAAACGAGGGTGCTTTTGTTCGCGCAGGTTAGCATCTTATCAGAGCGACGCGTGCATGCGCCGCACGGGCTGTTGGGTGGTAGCGACGGCGCGCGGGGGAGCAACATGTTGCTCAAACAGGACGGCCGGCGGGTGTTCATCGGAGGTGAGTCTTCGGTAATTCGCGACGAGATAGCAAGCTCGTAGTCGCCTCTTGAAGGTTGTGGGGAAGCATCAGAGAGTGTTGGGGGAAAGTTTAGAGGCGATCATACAATGATCTCGAGTAGGATTAAGAAGGATGGTTGGTGAGTGTTCCTCGGCTTTGGAGCTTCGGAAAGAGATGAGATAGTAAGCTCTTAGTCGCCTTTCGGAAGTTCCGGGTAAGTATCAGAGACTGTCGGGGCACCTTGAGAGGCGATTCGACCTCGGTAAGCCTCGAAAGGTCTCGGGAAGGATCAAGAAGGCTGGTTGGCGAGTATTTATCGGCATTGAACCTTCGGAGAGAGATTCCGGGACAAGTTAAGGGGCTCGCAGTCCCCTCTCGGAAGTTCCGGGGCAGCTGGGTGGCTAGCCAGTGGTCGTTGGCGGCGTGTCTAAAAGGATCCAGTAAAGTATATCAAGGGAAATTTTTGGGGGACCCTTGAGAAGCCTTGGGACTTTTCACACCATCTTTACATCGTTACCGTTTTGTTCGAACCGCTGATCTGCTAAGCGTTGGTCTTTCAACGGTTTGCTGCCATGTGCGGGGGCTCCTCAAGTTCCCTCGGCATCCGCTCATGTGGTTCTCTTCGCTGGCTGCAGGAAAGAATACGATCCGAGTCCAAGCAGGAGACCGTTTGCAGATCCTGACCCCAGGGGGAGGAGGGTTCGGTGAGCCTCAGGGAGAGGCTGGAAAGCTATTAGAAAGCTAGGCGCAAATGCGGAGACTTGTTGTTTATGAGCAGTCGTGGAAGTTTCATAGATATCTGCTTTGCTGGTCCAAGAAATGAACGTGAGCAAGAACGACACGCCCATCATCCTGGAGCCCAGACGATCTTTGTTGATCATTGTGATTTGCAGAATTGCAAGTAGTATTGAGGGGCGACGTTGTACTCCTCCATTCAATCGTCAGGTCATCATGGATTACCATACACTCGGCAAGCTAGATCAAGTCCAACATCGCGGTTTGCAAGCACGATTAGGGGGTAGCTTTGTATGTACTCCGCAATCAATCGTTAGGGTATATCATGGTTCACGTGACTGCAGAGTCCACAAGCTCGATCGGATCCTGCATGCATCGAAAAGTTGGCAGGCAAAAAGCTGGTCGACGCGGAAGTCCTTTGATGGCTGCATCAATTAGTACATGACTTGCTCGTGCCCAACATGTGCCGCCCGCGGCGTCGAGCACAACTATGGCCATAGTTGGCTTCGAAATTACCGCGGGAAACGCTAGTAGTACTAGCCCAATTTTCGGCGCTGGCACATGGCTCACTTGCATGCAAATCTAACCAAGACTCACTGAACTCAAGTTGGCCAAGTCATATCACAAATCTCGTTATGCACAAGAAGTACTGTAATTACCATGAGCTAATTAACTTTGAAGTTTCAACATGTTTATTTGACGTGATTGATCCAATCTCCTCCGGCCGGCCCGATCCATCCAACTAGCATGCGTGCGTATGCATCATTGCACCATGGTTGTAGGCCCTTAGTACATCTTCATGGCATGCCAGCGTCCTTCACAGTTGAACTATATAGGCCAGACGGTTGCGGCACCGATGTGCTGCTGGGCCTATATGGCGATCCTCCCATATATGAGCGCATGATCTGAAACCTCTTATAGCCGCCACCGCGTCGCAGCCTGCCCGCGCGACCGGTAATGATGGTCCGACATCGGAACACAATGAAACTTGAAATGCTGTATACTCGGCGCGGCGACAACGTCTCGGCTTGGGCCGGGCTCACCAATCGATATTTCTGCAATCACAAACCAGATATTTGATCATAGTATGTGGTACGCCCGTGGTACGTTGGCGTGCTGGCACGCCAGATGCAGCTGACCTAGTGATATAGCTCCTAGACGTAGCTAGGTCCTACGCCCGTTGCATCATGAATGCTGCCCCAATTACAATTAAATAATAACGTACAATAACGATAACCGGCGCACCACTGATGCCATAGCTATGCGCGACGCATCCGTCCGACTCGCGCGGCAGCTCCGCGGCCCGCGGCAGATCTCATGCATCGCGGCCGCGGCCGCCGGGGTCGGGATTTTGAACCGGGCCTGGCATGCAAGAGTCGAGACATCGTCGTCCGAGTCTTCGCCAACCTAGTTCAGCATGGCAAAACGTGTCTCTCAAATTGGCCTCATGTTCAAAGTACGTACCGAAACCTTCTCATTGTCCCACGAGGTCCGAGTCCTGTCCAGCTGAAATCTCATGTCAGGTATTATTTCATACCATAGGTCTC